ATTGCATAGTCTTTCTAAAGTCTTTTGTTATAAAGAACATTATTAAATGCAGAACAATCATTACTAAATCTTTCTTTAGTAACATAAAGCTAATGTAACAAACTTCTATTTGTATGCAACATGTATCCAAATTCTGTGGCTAAACCAACATCAAAGCCCAATGTGAATAGAAAGTATTCTTTTTACCAACTTCCTCATTATTTGTTTGCAAAAGGCACTTGAATCATTAGATTGGATATAAAACCATCGGTGATTATTAATGTATGTCAATGCCATTTCAGAAAGGATATTAGAACATGTCATGAAAATAATAACAAAAATAAATTTCAATCATAAATGGAAATATGTAGAAATATATGTTGAGACACCTATAAATGGTTCATCAAAGAAAGAATACTTGATTTCTCATGACGCACATGGCCTCAGAAACACCATGAGCATGCTTCATACTTGTATGAAAGTTTAAATATAATACAACATACGTGTGTATGTTCAAAAAATTAGCAAGTTTAAAACAAGGCGTAAATTGAGTTCATATTGGTTTCTGAATATTTTTCCCATAATTTTCCATTACTATACATCTCCAATACATTCTGTCAGTTGTCACAAGTCCTATTTGTAATGGGGAAGCTGCCCGTGAGAGTTAGACGGAGGTTCGGGGGCTGTTTTGAAGTTTCACCCCCGAAACGTCCTTTTTCGACTAAGTTTTCGGCGTATTCGGCTCTAAATCCCTACTTACGAGTCCGAATAACATTCCGTCAGTTGTCATAAGTCATAATTGGCATGGGAAAGGTGTTCGTGTCGTCCACATGGCGATTCCGGGGCTGTTTTGAATTTTAGCTCTCGAAACACCCTTTTTTGACTAAGTTTTGGGCGTATTCGTCTCTAAATCCCAACCTATTGGTCCAAACAACATTCCGTCAGTTGTCACAAGTGCTATTTGGCATGGGGAAGGTGTTTGTGTCTGCCACACGACGGTTTCGGGGCTGTTTTGAATTTTCGCCCCCGAAACGCCATTTTTCGACTAAGTTTTGGGCGTATTCGACTCTAAATCCCAACATATGGGTCCGCATAACATTCCGTCACTTGCAACAAGTCATATTTAGCATGGGGAAGCTGTTCGTGTTGGCCACACAACGGTTCGGGGGCTTTTTTCAATTTTCACCCCCAAAACGCCTTTTTTCGACTAAGTTTTGGACGTATTCGGCTTTAAATCCGAACATATGTGTCTGAATAACATTCCGTCACTAGCAACAAGTCATATTTAGCATGGGGAGGCTGTTCGTGTTGGCCACACGACCGTTCGGGGGCTGTTTTCAATTTTCACCCCCGAACGCCCTTTTTAACATTTCGTCAGTTGTCATAGGTCATATTTGGTATGGGAAAGGTGTTCGTGTCTTCCACACGGCGGTTCCGGGGTTGTTTTGAATTTTTGCCCTCGAAACGCCCTTTTTCGACTAAGTTTTGGGCGTATTCGGCTTTAAATCCCAACCTACGAGTCCGAATAACATTCCGTCAGTTGTCACAAGTCCTATTTGGCATGGGGAAGGTGTTCGTTTCGGCCGCATGGGGGTTTAAGGGCTGTTTTGAATTTTTGTCCCTGAAAGGCCGTTTTTCGACTAAGTTTTGGCGTATTCGTCTCTAAATCCCAACCTACGGGTCCGAATAACATTCCGTCAGTTGTCATAAGTGCTATTTGGCATGGGGAAGGTGTTCGTGTCAGCCACACAGCGGTTCCGAGGCTATTTTGAATTTTCACCCCCGAAACGCCATTTTTCGACTAAGTTTTGGGCATATTCGGCTCTAAATCCCAACCTACGGGTCTGAATTACATTCCGTCAGTTGTCACAAGTCTTATTTGGCATGGGAAAGGTGTTCGTTTTGGCCCCACGGTGGTTCAAGGGCTGTTTTGAATTTTTTCCCCCAAAAGGCCATTTTTCAACTAAGTTTTGGCGTATTCGTCTTTAAATCCCAACCTACGGGTCCGAATAATATTCCTTCAGTTATCACAAGTCCTATTTGGCATGGGGAAGGTGTTCGTGTCGTCCACATGACTGTTCGGGGGCTGTTTTCAATTTTCGCCCCCGAAACGCCATTTTTCGACTAAGTTTTGGGCCTATTCTGCTCTAAATCCCAACATATGGGTCCGAATAATATTCCGTCACTTGTAACAAGTCATATTTAGCATGGGGAAGCTGTTTGTGTCGGCCACACGGCGGTTCGGGGGCTGTTTTCAATTTTCACCCCTGAAACGCCCCTTTTCGACTAAGTTTTCGGCGTTTTCGGCTATAAATCCCTACTTACGAGTCCGAATAACATTCCGTCAGTTGTCACAAGTCATACTTGGCATGGGGAAGCGGTTCGTGTTGGCCACACTACAGTTCGGGGGCTGTTTTGAATTTTCACACCCGAAACGCCCTTTTTCGACAAAGTTTTGGGCGTATTCGGCTCTAAATCCCAATATATGGGTCCGAATAACATTCCGTCACGTGTAACTTCTCCAAGACTGAAATTTAAGTATTATGCGGTGATGAGAGGCATTGTTATTTAGGTCCAATGGCTGAAGCACTATGGGAAACTTTTATCAGAGATTATCCTTCTCATTACCTAGCTTTAATGGAATTAGGACCAAATATCAACAATTTTACAAACAAAATTGCTTCTTTGTAAGATTGAGACATATACAAAATTACTATATGTATGTCCTTTATTTTGTAGTAAGATTGAGACTCCCTTAAGTTATTTAAATGATCCCCTGAGTATAGACAATCTAGGTCAACCTTTAAGAATCCTAGAAACACTCAGAAATGGAAACAAGGTGGTCAATCTAGATCAAGAACATTTATAGTGTTTGTACTATTATAGACCCTACTGATATGTATAATTATGTTGAAGGAGCTGACGATGATTCAGATTGTGAACCTTGTCAATCAAATGGTCTACATGTTCTGACCAATAAGTTAAATTATTATCTTGACCAATCAACCACATTTAATCCTTACGAACAAAAACGAATTGTGAACATCGTTGGATACCTGAAAAAGGTAATTCTAGCCAACCTTGCCATATTTGTCTTAACTACCCAGCACCAAAATTACGGACCCAATGCACAAAACGTTTTTTTGAAGGCTGTATTAAATGTATAGAAAATAAATACCAATGTATTATACCTAACAAACGTGATGTCTCTTGTTATGGTATACCCAACGCTGGTATCAACACTTATTGTCTCACAGAGAGTAGTGTAGATTAGTAATGTCATTAACATTTCGACCTTCTTGTTTCTTCAACAACCTCTTCATCTTGCTGATGGCACTAGAATGTGGGAGTGTCCTGTTTTTTTCCCGATTTCGACTAATAGTGAAAGTGGTCTGGACACATCTATGGTTGGATCAGGAATTAAACATGTGCTCAAGTTGAGTTAAGATGATACCAAACATGATTACTACACTATAGGAACATAAAACCTGAATAAAGATATCTATATCCCAGATAAAGGATCGGTAGATGGCGATTCGGGATTAAGATATGATTATGGGAAGTTCTACGCTTCGAAAACATTTTTTGACAGTGTTAAGCAACGTAGGATCTTGTGGGGTTGGATTAACGAATCTTTGCCTCAACCTGAATACATCAAGCAAGGGTGGTCTGGAGTTCAGGTAATAATTACATTACGAGAATTGTTATATAGGAAAATCATAAATATTTTACTGACATTTTTGCCGCTTGCATGGCTTCTTGTATTCATTACTTTTAAGTGATTCCAAATAAGAAATCACGTTTTTTTATAAATATATATATGTTTTGAAGGCAATTTCGAGGAACATTTGGCTAGATAAATCAAGAAAGCAATTGGTGCAATGGCCAATGTCAGAGATTGAAACACTACGCATGAACCAAGTAGACTTGCCTAGCAAACTCGTCAAGGGTAGATCAATGCTTGGAATTTCATCTATCACAGCAGCACAAGTGAGTTTCTTCTTTTGCTCCATATATATATATATATATGAATAAATACTGGATTCAACATGTTATCAATGGCCATTAAAAATTTCTAGACAATGTGCAGTAGAACTGATCTCATCTCTCATTTAAGAGCAACTTCAACATTTGACAATAAGTTTTTCAAATTCATCTTCAATTGTGTGTTATTTCCAATGGCACAAAGTTTGACAAAATATTAAAATTTGACATAACTTTTTTCTATATCTTTCTCATGATGGGATTCAAAAATGACATTTATATTTAAATTTTATGTAGAAAATAAAATAATATAAACATTTATATTATTGAAACAACATTGTTAAATTATGATCTTTTGACGGTGTGACTTGGTAAAAATTGATTTTGACATTTTCATTTGGACACCATCCATACATTAGAGATGCTCTATCAGTTAATTGGTCTACACTGGCCCCTATTTGGTGCATTACATATTAGTCCATGTAGCCAGCGATAGTTAGTAAACTTTTTTTTTTGAACAACCGATTAGAGAGAAATAAAGGAGTAAGAAGATGCATAGCATAGTGATATGACTCGAACTTAGCAAAATAATAATAATAATGATGTAATAAAAAGGAGAAGAATAAGGGTAGTTCATTTATGTTATACTATTATAATTATATGCTAAAATATATTTTTTTCTCATTTTCTTTACTATACTTTTTTTTACAGGCAGATGTGGAGATATCATTTTCAGTACTAGGAATTGAAAAGGCAGAAGTGATGGATTCAAGTTGGACAAACCCACAATTGTTATGCAGCCAAAAGGATGCATCAATTAAAGGTGGGCTTGGACCATTTGGATTAAAGGTGTTAGCTTCAAAGGATTTGAAAGAACATACATCTGTGTTTTTTAGAATTTTCAAAGCTCAAAGCAATAAGCATGTGGTGCTTATGTGCAGTGATCAGAGCAGGTTTCTCTCTGCTCTGTTTGTCAATGATTTTTCATTATTAAATTTGTATGTTCTTTGTTTTAATATACTTTCTCAATTATTAACTTAGATAAGAATATCGATATATATATGATTTAATAGTTGAGAGTGTATTAAAATAAAAAGACAATAATTTGGAAACACATAATTTTGCGTTCCTTATCTAAGTCCCTCATCTTGTCTCTCTTACCTAATTTGATTTTAGAGATTTTAACATTTTTATTGAATAATTAATAGGTCTTCACTAAATTCTCACACTCCATCACCATCTTGATTACTATTCCATATCAAACATCAACCAAATTTCATTCACTTTGTTCTCAAACTGAAATGGTGAATTGTACTGAGCGATAGTGTACTCCGTGGCAATCTTAAAGCCATGGCTTTTGTCAATGGCAGCCGACCAAACGGTGCTTGAAAGACTGGCATGCAAGGCAGCAGCTTCTTCTCTGACATCAGAGTTGGATACGAATAAAAAAAAAACCCCCTAAATGTAGAACAAAAATCATAAACCATTTACCTACGGGTCCAATATTGAAAGCCTCTACATCAAATAAAAAAAAACCCCCCCAAATAATCATACAAAAATCATAAACCATTTACTCGTTTCCCATAAATGAAACTCATAAATCAAACTCAAACAGGGAAATAGAAGAAGGAAGAGAGACGAAGAGAGAGAGAGAGAGAGAGAGAGAAACCTGAATCAAATTAAATGGGTGTCAGACGATGTACCTTTGCTGGTTCGGGGGCTCTGCGCAACGGTGGCCGATGGTTAGTCGATGAGAGGAGATGATCGATGGGCTGTGGACGAGAGTAAGAGTAAGAGGGGTTTCCTTTGGTGTATTCAACACATACAGAGAAACAAAAAAATAAGTAAAAGGAAACATAGAAAATACGCGGTAGTATTTTAATCTTCCCACCAAACTTTTGTTGGTTTTATTGGCCACAAAATCAATTTAGTCACTAAAATCAATTTCATAGCCACATATTTTTATAGGATGACTAAAAGAATTTTTGGTCGTTAAAATAAATTTTTACCGACAAAAGATTTGTCGCCAAACATAAATACCAAACATTTTGAGCAAAAATGAGTTTATGGCGACTAAAAAAAATTTAGTAGCCAAAAAACATAACTAACGCTAATTAGAATGTTCGTTAGTCGTCTAATACGTAAGTTTTTAGCGACTAATTTAATTTTTAGTCGCCAATAAGTACATTACAGTGACTAAAAAAATTTAGTAGGCAATAAACACAACTAACGACGACTAAAATGTTTATTAGTTGCCTATTACGTAAGTTTTTAGCGACTAATTTATTTTTTAGTCGCCAATAAGCACTTTACAGTGACTAAAAAAAGTTAGTAGCTAATTTTTGAACCAATCGCGACTAATCCCAATTTTGGTCGCCAAAAGTATAGGTTTTGACGACTAAATTAATTTTCGTCGCTAAAATTGATTGCCAAAAATGCGAATCCTTGTAGTGTTAGCACGATGCACAAATATACACACACACTTTCATGACATCACAGCACACAGGTGCACAACTCCTATGAGCTCCAACACGACACCTACATGCACACCTACAAAGATTTTTCAGCACACCCACACCCATGCCTACACCCACATACACCCTCAAGTTACAGACCATTTCACAATTCAATTTTTGATTAAATTTAATTTAACTAGGCAACACTTAATATTAGCAAATCTTGATTAACACATAATGTAATTAATCATAACTAATTTCAAATCGCACATAATTTAATTAGTTTAATTGACTTCAATTAAGGCCCAATTAATTATAATTAATTTTTACTAATCTGAATCAGATTTTTAATCAAACTCTCAAAATGCCCCAAATATCAAATTAAACTTATTGCCATAATCAATTTTTGTTTCTCAAATTTCCAAGGCCTTCAATTTCATAGCAAACTCAAAATCTCCGTCAATAAATTACATATTCAAATTGGACACTTTACAAGTAAATTTAATTCAGAATAATCATAATTCTTGTTCCCCATAACTTAATTAACTTCCTTAACTCCAATTCGGACCCAATAAATCAAATCTCAATTTTATTAAATTGAATCAAATATTTAATTAAACCCTCATATGGTCTGAAACGTGAGATTAAACTGATTCAACTCTTCAATTTTACCTCCTTAACCATTTGGACGTTCGATTTCTAATTCCAAAATAAATTCTTAATACAATCATATACGAATCAGGTTCCATAATTCTCATAAATCCCAAACTAAATTAGAATAATGACTAATGAAAATTCAAATCTTCTTAATTAATTATATGTAAAATATTATACATGATGGAATCATTACAATCCATGAAATTTGGAAAGAAATGGGTTTTGAAGAAGAATGTGGGTTATATGTATGATCATGAAAGATTTCATCTTTTTGGCTTGAATGTTTGAAATTCTTGCATACATGAAAGCTTTTTAATTGAGGATTTATATCCTGCATGATTTCAGAAACTTCATGAGATTATGTTTTCAATTTCATGTTTTGTTCTTCAAAAGAAAAAGAAGTTGGAAAATCTTTGCATGCATGAGATTAAATTCCAGTTTTGCTTACATTGTTGAGTTTTATGTAAATGATTTTCTAAAGGGTCATACATTGGTATTTTTCAAGTGTTTTCATGTTTTCAAGAAAGCCATGCATGATCCCCAAGTCTTGGAGCAAAGTTTGGAAGCTCAAATCTTCAATTTCAAACCTAGAATTTTTACAGACCATTCGAGCGACCGAAAGGTGGCTCGAGCAAACATTACAAACTTCCAAAACGTTTGCAGTCTTTATAGACTGGTCGAGCGACCAATTGGTGGCTAGAGTGAACTTTCGACCCATCCAGTATTTTTACAGACAATGCAGTCCGCTTGTGACGACCCCACCGCGTATAATAATTAGCATTCAATTAATTAAATAGATTTGAATTTTAATTGCCCATTATTTTCTAATTTAATTTGGATTTATGAAAATTGTGGAGACTAATTCGTATATGATTCTATTAAGGATTTATTTTGGAACTCGAAATTGAAAACTTAAATGGCTCAAGAGAGTATAATTGGTGAATTGAATTATTTTAATTTCGGGTATCGGACCATATGAGAGTTTAACTAAATATTCGATTCAATTTAGTAAAATTAAGATTTAATCAATTGGGTCTAAATTGAAATTAATTAAGGTATGAGAATTGGGAATTACAATTGTTATGAATTAAATTTAATTATGATGTGTTCAATTGAGTATGTAATTTAGTAATGGAGATTTTGAGTTTGATCCAAAATTGAAGGCCTTAATGATTTAAGAAACCAAAATTTAGGATAAAAATAAGCTTAATTTGATATTTGGAGCCTTTTGGGAGTTTGATTAAAAAATTATTTTAGAATGAGAAATTTAAATATAATTAATTGGGCTATAATGGAAGTCAAATTAGACTGGTTAAATTATGTGAAATTTGTGATTAATTATGATTAATTTAATTATGTGCTAATCAAGATTTATTAACACTGAGTATTGCGTAATTAAATTAATCTTAATTATAAATTAAATTATGAAATAATCTAGAATTGAGGGTGTATATGGGTGTGGGTGTATTAAGCAAATCAGTGGGTGTTTGTGTGTGTGCATGAGTGTTGTGTTGGAAGCTCAATATTGTGGGCACGTGTGCTTGAGGTGCCAACAAGAGAGGGTGAGATTGTGTACCTCTTAATATGGAATGAGAAGGAAAATGAATTCATTCATGTGTATGTGCTGGAAGGAACAGAGCAGAGAGAGAGAGAAAGAGAGAGAGAGAGAGAGAGAGAGAGAAAGAGAGAGAGCAACTATATGTGTTGGAATGGAGAAGGAAAGTAAGGGCAAAACTTGGAAAAAGTGAAGAATTGAAGAGAGACTCAAGAAATTGTGAAGAAACTCATCAAATTGAAGGTTTTAGGTAAGAAATTAAAGCTTAAATCTTATAAATAAATTATCTAGAAGCTGAAATTAAGAGGTAATTAGATTCAATTTCATGAAATGAAAAATAAATTAGCAAGAAAATGAGTTAGTGTAGCTTGCTTTTCGTGCTCCTTTTGGATACAATAGCCCTATAGTTCAGACTCCCGTGGTTTTGAATCTAATCTCACAAGTGCAATGTGAAATAGATAAACACAAAAGAGTCCAAATCCGGCAAATCTTTGGAAAAATCGATTTTGAATCAAAAATGCCAAATATGGACCGCTTTGCCAGATTAGAGAGTCACCACCTAAATATTTTTGGAAAATTTAGGAAACTCATTGCTCATGCCAAAGGCCACGTGTCCGTTATCACCAAAGTGTCTCGACTCGGGAACTTAAGTACGAGAGGGGAAGTTCATGAATTGAGCACCCCAGTTGCTCGATCAAAGATCGGCCTCTACAAATCGTGATGTGATTTTTATTTACATTATATGCTCTTGTGGGCTTAAAACATGATTTTGCCACCCTCAAGTGGGCTTAAAACATGATTTTGCCACTTCGCAAAGTGGGCTTCAAACTCACATTCAATGAATTGTTCCAATTCAAGCAATCAAGCCTTCACCCATAGGCATTCATGTAGTTAATCAATTAAGCAAATAGCCTCATGGCAAGCATACGAAACATGGTAACACTCACACTCATGCAAGTATGCTAAAGCGTAAAACTTATAGTGTACTCCAAGCTAAAACAAAAGCTACTTAGAAATCATGCATGATCCAAACTATGTTAAGATGCCTAATGCAACACAGGCAATAATGCAACTAATAGGCTCGGCTATCTAGGATGGCATATGAATGCGACAATTTGATAACATGCTTTGAAACACGTATTCAAATAGGTGTTGAAATACAATACAGTTTGAATGATGCGCGAGCCTCGGTGCATGCAAGACAAATGAATGATGTAAACATGCAAGCATAAGGTATGCTAATTGAAAATGACCCTAATCTAACCATTGAAAGCGGATAAATAAAAGGGAGAAAGACGTGGGGTTGGAAGACATGCACACACACATACACGCTTATTACAACATTGCGCCCTCTCGAAGGAGGGTCCGAATAAATAAGCTAAGCTAATCTAAGCTAAGCTAAGCTAAGCTAACTAATCTAATTAAACTAATTAGACTAATTATTACAACACTTAACTAATTAGCACACTAATTAATTAAATTATAAAACCAATGCTAATTAATAAGTAAAGATTAAATTACACTACTTCAGCTCTGCTTTAGCAACTTGAACATGCATGCATTCGGTTTCTCACCCCGAAAAGCCCACCGATTTGCTCTTGAGAGGCTTTGTTTGCAGGGTTATTCCAAGAACTCTTTGCTCTGCCTTACCAATTACAATTTGATAACATACTTTGAAACACGTATTCAAATAGGTGTTGAAATACAATACAGTTTGAATGATGCGCGAGCCTCGGTGCATGCAAGACAAATGAGTGATGAAAACATGCAAGCGTAAGGTATGCTAATTGAAAATGACCCTAATCTAACCATTGAAAGCGGATAAATAAAAGGGAGAAAGACGTGGGGTTAGAAGACATGCACACACACATACACGCTTATTACAACATTGCGCCCTCTCGAAGGAGGGTCCGAATAAATAAGCTAAGCTAATCTAAGCTAAGCTAAGCTAACTAATCTAATTAAACTAATTAGACTAATTATTACAACACTTAACTAATTAGCACACTAATTAATTAAATTATAAAACCAATGCTAATTAATAAGTAAAGATTAAATTACACTACTTCAGCTCTGCTTTAGCAACTTGAACATGCATGCATTCGGTTTCTCACCCCGAAAAGCCCACCGATTTGCTCTTGAGAGGCTTTGTTTGCAGGGTTATTCCAAGAACTCTTTGCTCTGCCTTACCAATTCCATGCTGAGGATTTCACCAGTGGCCTACTGACCATAAGAAGC